TCCCAGGTTCTCTCCCGACCCTGCTGGGAGCAGCTCAGTCTGGCTGAGGACGAGGTTCCTTTTTCCTCCCATTCCCTTTCCCTGCCTCTGAGGAAAAGGTGGCTTTCCAAGGGGAAAACCCCACTGAACTCCGAACAAATCCAACTCAGCACTATTTTTGTTTTCCAAAAGTTCCTGGCCCCTGATCCCTCCTGTCTCCTAGCCTCTCCTTTTCCTGAGGAATCACCCAGCCAAGACCCAGCCTGGGTAAATCCCAGCCTTATTCCATCACGAGGGATAAAATCCCAGTGACAGGGATGGAGCTGATGGGGAGGAGGGGCTGTCCTTCCCATCCACCAAGCCCCTAATTCCCAGCAAATCAGGCATCCAGTGGGACGCTGGGTGTGAGGACAGGGGTGCCCAGTTCCCACGGGTGATGGGGACACGGGGCTGTGGCTGTCCCCAGGTGGAGGTGACCATCGGGTCACCTGAAGGTGTGTACCCCCTTGCAGGTGATGTCCACGTCAGCATGGCTGACCGCAACGGGCAGCTAGAGGTGGACGTGATCCAGGCCAGGGGACTCATCCCAAAGATGGGCTCCAAGTGCATCCCTGGTAGGTGGCTGTGGATGGAGGGGGGTGGGTGTCGTGCTGGGATCATCCCAGGATTCTGCTCCATGTCCCTGTTTCTCATGGCAGCCACCTATGTGAAGGTTTACCTGCTGGAAAACGGCGTCTGCCTGGCCAAGAAGAAGACCAAGGTGGTGAAGAAAACCTGTGACCCCTCGTACCAGCAGCCCCTGCTCTTTGAGGAGAGTCCCCAGGGCAAAGTCCTGCAGGTGGGCTGGGACACCTGCCCCTTCCCTCGTGGCACTGAGCCCCATCCAGGTTTCCTTGGGCTGCCAGGGGTGGGACAGCCACAGCTTCTCTGGGCTGGGATGCCCTCCTTGGAGCTGGGATGTTCTCCTTAAGGTCTGGTGCCCTTCTTGGGGTCTGGGATGCCCTGCTTAGGGTTGGGATGCTCTCTTCAAGGTTGGGATGCTTTCCTTGAGTTTGGGATTGGGATGCCGTCTTTGGGACCTGGAATGCCCTGTGCCTGGATCTCCCCACCCTCACAGGGTGAGAGGAGCAAGTCCAGGGATCTCCAGAACCCTTCCTGCATCCCTCAGACCTTCCCAATCCCGACCACAGCAGGGTTTTTCCATCTGGGCATGATTTCCCCAGAATTCCCAGCTCCATCACCCCTTCCCTGCCCACAGGTGATCGTCTGGGGCGATTACGGGCGCATGGACCACAAGTGCTTCATGGGGATGGCCCAGATCATCCTGGAGGAGCTGGATCTCTCCAGTGCTGTCTCGGGCTGGTACAAACTCTTCCCAACCTCCTCCCTGGCCGACTCCAGCATCGGACCCCTGACCCGCCGCCTCTCCCAGTCCTCCCTGGAGAGCTCCACCAGCCCCTCCTGCCCATAGAGGCTGGGATTGGGAAGGAGACATCCAAGGAGACCTTGCAGAACTGGTCGTGGAGAGCTGTAAATATCCTTTTTATTTTCTCCTTTTCAGTTTTTCATTTTCAATCTCCTTTCCCCCCCAAAAAATCCGCCCTGGACGCCCTCCCCAGGAAGGGAGAGGGAGCGAGGGCAGGGGGGAAGGAGAGGCAAAAATTCCCTCCGAGGGCTGCGACTGCTAGCAAATCCCAGACTGTTCCCAGACCTCGTCCTGGAAGCTCCCAGGTTCTCTCCCAACCCTGCTGGGAGCAGCTCAGTCTGGCTGAGGACGAGGTTCCTTTTTCCTCCCATTCCCTTTCCCTGCCTCTGAGGAAAAGGTGGTTTTCCAAGGGGAAAACCCCACCGAACTCCGAACAAATCCAACTCAGCACTATTTTTGTTTTCCAAGGAATGTAGCATCTTCTCTTATGTAGCTTTGCCACGTGCTAACAACACAATCACTGCAATATCCAAGAGAACTCTGGATGGACCGGGAACATCTGCCAGTTTCATCCCATTTGGTCGCTTTCCCAGCACTTTTGGTGGCCATTTCCCTGCCTTTTTTTTCCCAGTTTTTTTGGTTTTCCCGGGAGCATGTAGCCTGTGACCATTGCCAAAGCAAGAGGGGACAGGGAAAGGGGCGCTTGCCTCCCCTCAGTGTCCGCTGGGCTTCTCCTCGTGTCTCACTGCTGACCGCGCTCATGTCCAGCCAAAACCAGACCCAAAGGACAGACTCTGGGAATGCCTCACGGGAGGCGGGAGAAGGCGACCCAACGGAGTGGGAATAGCGGGATCCTGGCGGATCGGCTGCCTCCCAGCCCCCTCCTTCCCAGCTGGAGGGCTGGGATATTCTCCTCGAGGTCTGGAATGCTCCTTGGAGCTGAGATGTCCTCCTTGAGGTCTGGAATGCTCTCCTTAGATCTTGGATGTCCTCCTTGAGGTCTGGCTGTCCCTCCTCGGGGTCTGGAAAGCCCTGCTCAGGGTTGGGACACTCTCCTCAAGGTCTGGAATGCTCTCCTCGAGGTCTGGAATGATCTCCTTGTGGTTGGGATTCCCTTCTCAGGAGTTGGGATACCCTTCCTGGGGTCTGGAATATCCTCCCTGGAGTAGGATGCTGTCCTTAAAGGCTGTGATTCCCTCCTCAGGAGTTGGGATAGCCTCCCTGAGGGCTGGGATGACCTTCCCAAGATCTTGGATCCCCTTCTGGAGATGTTCTCCTTGGAGCTGGGATCTCCTCCTCCTCTTCCAGACTGGGCCGTCCGCCTCGAGATGTGGGATTGCCTTCCTGGGCTCTGGGATTGCCTTCCTGGGCTCTGGGATTCCCTTCCCAGGCTCTGGGATTCCCTTCCCGGGCTCCAGCACACTCCCCTCGAGATCTGGGGCATCCTCCTTGGGGTTGGGACGCTTCTGGAGAGCTGGGATGCCCTCCTGGATACTTGAATTCCAAGCAGGAGTGGAATCCAACCCTGGTTCTTTCCAGGGGAACATCTCAAAAGCAGCTCTGGAATTCAGGGGACAGACAAAGGAGTGGAAGTTCCTTAGTGGGATGAGTGTCTTTGGGGTTTTTTGTTTGTTTTGTTTGTTTTTCCAAGCAGCATTTTGGTTCCCTCTGAGGGATCCAGTTCTTGTAGCAAACCCGGGAATTACGGAAGCTTTTTTTGAAGGTGCCTATTGAAATTTGCTGAAATTACTCAGGGGAGACACCACTAGAAACTCTTGGTTTCTTCATCAAATATTCCTAAATCCAATGACTGTCCTGAAGGATCAGTTCCCAAGAGAGAAGGAACAAAATCCCGACACACCGAAAGAGGAGGAGACTGGAAGAGGACAAGAGGTTCATGGGGAATTTCATGGGGCTGGCTCTGACCTTCAGTCTTCACCACAAAGCACCCCACAGCACGGCTGGGGTTTTTATAGGATTATTTCTTGGCAAAACCCAGAATTCCATGATGCACAGAGCACAACAAACCCACACGGGCTTCTCCTGGTGGCACCGGGAATGAAGAACCAGCTCAGCCACAGTGGAACAAACCCAAACCTGAAGGAAAAACTTGGGATGAAGCTGTTCCACAAACCCAACCCCAAACCTGGTGGTCCATAAAACCAAACCTGGGAGTCCTCAACCCCAAATCTGGGGTCCACAAACCCAAACCTGAGGGTTCACAAATCCAGAGCTTGGGATTCACAACCCCAAATCTGGGGTTCCACTAACCCAAACCTGAGAGTCAACAAACTCAACTTGGGAGTCTACAAATCCAAATCTAAGGAATCATAAACACAAACCTGACGGTTCACAAATTCAAGCCTTGAGGTCCACAAATCCCCAAAATCTGGGGTTGTATAACCCCAAATCTGGGGGCCCAAAACCCCAAACTTGGTTTTCCTTAACCCCAAATCTGGGGTTCTACTGACCCAAATCTGGAGGCCCACAACCTCAAACTTGGGGGTTCACAAATCCAGATTTGGGGCATCATAAATCCAAACCTGAAGGTTCAGAAATCCAAACCTGGGGTTCCACCAACCCAAACCTGGGGTTCCATAACCCCAAAGTTCCACAGCCCTGAATCTTGGGGTCCACAAATCCCCAAACTTGGGAGTCTACAAACCAGATCTGCAGGTCTACAAACTCAAACTTTGGGATCTACAAACCTACACTTGGGGTTCCACAACCCCAAAACCGTGGCCAGCAGGACTCGTCTGTGCCGTGGCCGATTCACCCGACACTGCCACAACTTCAGCACCATTGTGACCGGGACTCGGAGCTGCTGCCATGACTTTGCCAACTCCAAGGCAATTCCGAGAAGGGAATTGGCCGGATCCTGCTGAGCTGGGATGGGGAAAAATTCATCCTTTTTACCCCTGTGAAGGATGAAAGATGAAATCCTCCTCTGCTGGTTGGAGCACGGGCTGCGATTCCTGGATGGAGACCTCTGGGAATGTGGGATGGCCTGAACCTCCGGTGGTTTGGGGAACAAACTTGGTGCCCTTGGGTGCTGAGACAGGAACAAACAACAAAGAACAAAGAACTCGATGTTCTCTCCCGAGCGCAGAGCAATTCCATGAGGCCAATGGAATCACGGCAAACAGAATTCCACGAGGCTCAACCTGGCTGAGCCTGTGCTTTTGACTCTCCATGGGGGAAAGCGTCCCGGAAGGAAAAGCTTTCCGCTCCTCCAAGCTGCCTCTCTTCCCTCTGGCTTCACCAACTCGATGCTGATGGAAACCCTCCAAATGTGCCGTGGTGGGATGGTCCCAGATGGAGCAGGAGTGTGGGCAGAGCAGGGAGCTGAGCAGGGACGTTCTGCTCCTGGCGTGGGCACAGCTTCCCACCCCCTCCGCATTCCCGCGTTCCTCCAGCAGCGCTTCCCTGCTCCGTCCCTGCCAGGAACATCCCACCAGGAACATCCCACGGCTGTGCCGTGACAGGGAGCAGGGGCGGGGGATGAGCAGCACGGCGCGGCCACCGTGCGCTCCCCAGGGCCAACACGCGCATCCCCGCTTTTCTGCTGGAAAAATCCTGGTGAAATTCCACTAGGGAATGAGGAAAACTCAAATATTTTGGCTCATGGATCACGGAGGATGAGTTGGGGGTGACAAGGACAAAGTGCAGCCCTCCATGGGAGGGGTTCTGGAGAAGTGGAAACACCATGGATTGCACCAAAACCCAGGAAAACATTCCCTCCTTCCCTTCCAGTCCCCCGAGAGCTGCCACACATTTCCCAGCAGGAACGACCCACCTTCAACTGGTGTGGGGAGCCCAAACTCGGGGAAGAGCCAGGATTGTGCCACACTGGGCTTGCAACATCAGCTCCTCATTTCTCAACCCCCAGGACCTCGTGTCAGACGTTTTGCTTCCTCAAACAACCAGAAACACACAGCCAAGACACTCAGAAATCCCCAACAGCCCCATGCCAGCTCCTGAGGAAACAAACTCCATCCCAGGATAAATTCCTGCACTCCAAGGTTGTTTTTTTGTTGTTTTTCTGGGGGAATGTTTCTTCGCAAAGGGCATCTTTTGATGTGCAATGTGATTTGCAAAATTCCCTGCAAGAAATTTTGAGTTTTATGATTTCCTCTATTTTCTATCAAAAAAAGAAATCCAAACCACTGGATTTGCCGGGGATTTTTTCCTGGAAAGAGGAATTCAGATGGAATTAAATCAGTTTTTCAGCCCATTTGACACCCAGCCCCCAGCAGAGAGGAGCAGCTCCCACCTGACACTGACAGAGCTGAAATCCAAACCCCCAGCTGTAATCACAAGGATGGATTTGACAAAAAAAGCCTTGGAATGATACTGAAACATCCCCTAAAAACTGACAAAATTCACACAAAGCACAGAAAACACTCCAAGATTCCAGGCCTGAGTTTTCCCTGCTTTCCCACCAGCCTGGAATGGGCCAGATTTGCCAAAGTCCAGTGAAAATTTCCAAGAAATTGGGATCAGTCAGAATCCAGCTCCTGTTTCACCATCATCAGGGCGTGCTGAAAACCTGGGAGAGGAGGTTTGGATGGAGTTTTCCCGGAATCCAGTGGAATACAGCACCAATTCCCTGAACCTACTGCCACAGAGCACTGGAGAGAGGGGGGAAAAATTCCCTCCACCTTTCCCAGCTCTGCCAACCTTCCCTCCAGGAGCTGGCAGTTCCTGGTTCCAATCAGACCAGGAATTCCTCAGGAATGGGATCAGGATTTCCTTGGCTGCCAGGGAATCTCTTCTGTTCACTGCCTGACACCACAACTTGGGAAATCCAGCCTGGATTCCGCAATTCCCCCCTGGACTCACAAACCCCAGCAGGGCAGGAATGCTTTTTCCTCATACAAAATAATCCCTAAAAAACTGCACCAGGAATGTTTTTCCAGGTGGAAAATTTTTCTTCCAGTTGACTCAGATGCTTCTTTCTGGATGGATGGGAAATGCCTGGATGTGGGAACCTCTGGAAGGTGTGGGATTGGTTTGGAAAAGAACAGAATTGTGCAGACCAAGGAACAGTGGCCAAGCTGAATCCAACCTAGATGTGTTTTTCCTCATGGATGGGAAGAGCTCTCCCTGCTTTCCCTTGGGATTTCACAGCTACAGATGGATCTGGAGAATTCCCTGCAGGAACAGCAGGGTTTGCATCCCACTCTGGTGAGGGCAGCACAGCCTTTTCCAATATTTTTGTAGCAAACCTGTTCCAACTGGAAGTCTTCCCTCTGCTCCACAGGATCCCAGGCTGGCTTGGGTGGGAAAGACCTTAAAATCCATCAAATTCCAGCCCCCCAGAGGCTGCTCCCAGCCCCATCCTGGGACACCTCCAGGGACAGGGCAGGATTTCTTTTTCATGGAGAAACCCCTCCCAGTCCTTGGCTGGTTGGTTAAAGGTGTGAAAATCACTTTTAGGAGTTCAAAAGCTGCAGGGATTACTTTCTTTGGGGGAAAAAAAAGGCATCCCAAATAACAGGGTTGGAATTTTGGGGGTCACTCCATGACAGGGTGGGACAATCCTGCTCACCTGAGGAAGATTTTGGGTTTAAAAAGACTCGGAAAAGTGTCCAAGTGTTGGTATGGGTGTCTGAGGAACCTCCCTGTTGTGGGAGCCCTGAGCATCCCTCAGGAACACCGGGATGGACTCCAGAAATCCAGGAGAATCCAGGAGATCCCGGTGCTCCCCCCCAAGGGCCTGGAGCTGCAGTGCCTGGCTGGAGCTCCGCTTGTTGCTATACCTCATCCTTTCCTTTTCCCTGGATCCTTCCCCTTTCCCACTTCTTCCATTCCTTTAGGACCCAGAGCTTGTGCACTCAGCCACATCCAGGTTTTTGTTTTATTTCTTTCCCTGTGGAATGAAAAGCAATCCATGATTGGGGTAGGCAGCTCCCAACCCTGCTCCCTTTGGGATTTGAGCCCAAGGCAAGGGAATCCCAGGGTTGGAGGGATGATCCAGTGGGATCCTGGGGCTGGAGGGATGATCCAGAGGGATCCCTGTGCCCCTTTTCCAACTTCCCTGTCCCGCAGTGCCTCCAGGGCTGCTCTGAGGCCCCCAAAACCCTCCCAGGGGTGGGACAGGGGCTCGATTCCAAAATCCAGCACTGCTGCCACCCTTGGAAGGGCACAAATCCCTTTCCAGAGCCCTTGGAAGGGCACAAAACCTTTTCCAGAGCCCTTGGAGGGGCACAAATCCCTCTCCAGAGCCCTGGGAAGGGCACAAAACCCTTTCCAGAGCCCTTGGAGGGGTACAAATCCCTCTCCAAAGCCCTTGGAGGGGCATGAAACCCTTTCCAGAGACCTTGGAAGGGCACAAATCCCTCTCCAGAGCCCTTGGAGGGGCACAAATCCCTCTCCAGAGCCCTTGAAGGGGCACAAATCCCTCTCCAGAGCCCTTGGAGGGGCACAAATCCCTCTCCAGAGCCCTGGGAAGGGCACAAATCCCTCTCCAGAGCTCCTGGATAGACAAGGAGCCTCTGGAGCAGGCAGGGGGGTGACCTTCCCTTGGGAGGACGCTGCGGAATGCTGATCCCATTCCTTACAGGAACCCAGCTCCCTCTGGCTGAGAAGGGAATTTTTTCCTGCCACAGGGAATATCACAAAGGAATTCCTGATCCTGAGGGCCTCTGGAAGCCTGGGGGAGCCCCTGAATGTTCAGAGCACTTTGAAGTTGGTGGCCTTGTTTTCTTAAAGGGCTTTGATCTTTTCATGAAAGGAGAGAATCTTTCCCCATCCCATCATCTTCCTCCTCCCCAGCTCAGAATTCATCCCAGGAAAGAGCACCTGGAATGTTCAGGATGATCCAGGACTCCGGAATCTGTCATTATCCCCTCAAGTTTACACCTAAAAGCGGCTCTGGAGAAAGCAAAGTTGAGAATTTCTCCTGGAATTTGGGTTGGGAGAAGCACCAGGGAAATACAAATAAGGGGGAAACTCCCAATGGATTTTTAGGAGTAGGCAAAGTGAAGTTTGGGAATGTTTATCCCACCCAAAAACTCTGGATTTCCGTTCCAAATGGAGGGATTTTATCCATAATAAGGAATCCTTCAACCCAGCTTCCCCCTAAAAAGTTTGAGGGGGGATAAAAGGGAATTGTGGGATTCCAGGCTGGTTTGGGTCCATTAAAAATAAAATAAAAGGGAACAAAAGGGTGCAAATGATGCGGGATTAAAGGCAAAGAGATGCTCCCAGAGCTCTGCCAGAAATTCCAAACCCCTGGAAGCTGAAAGGAGGGACAGGGGTGAAAGTGCAAAACCCCACAAGGACCCCAAAATCCCTCCCATTTTCCAGCCTCAAATCCCCCAAAATTTGCATGGAAACTCCCAATGGATTTTTAGGAGTAGGCAAAGTGAAGTTTGGGAATGTTTATCCCACCAGGTCACCAGGAGAGGTGGGGAAGTGTCAGAGCTTAATTAACCACGAGTTAATTGGCACTAAATGAGAAAAAAGGGGGGAAAGGAGAGCCAGGGGAAGACTTTCCTTGGATATTTTAGGACTTGTGGGAGCTGGGATGGGAATAGTGACTCCATCCCCCCAGTCTGTGCTAAACTTGGTTTAATGACAGATTCCTCCCATTCCTCAACTCCACCCTCCCCCAAAATCACCGGGAAGGGAGGAACTGGAGCATCCTTGGAGCCCCAGTCCCACATCCAAGAGAAGGGGATGGGTTTGGGATGGCTACAGAAAAGTGGGAATATTTCAAAGAACTAACAAATGGAATTTTCTACCTGTGTCCTGTCCCGTTTTCTATGTGTGTGGTCCTTTCTTAAATGTCAAACTCTTGTATTTTTGTGGTTTCTATCTGCGGGACCGATGGCTCTGAGGGCGCACGTTGTTTTGTAAAATATTCCTGACATTTTCCTTCCCAAAAAAATAAAAACAAAAAAAAAGGGAGGAAAAGCTGAATTATTCACCTTTTAATTGGCTTTGCATGTACAGTATTGGGGCAGCAAGTGGAGATGATTAAAGCCAGCTTGAAAACTTTTTCCTGTGCTTGAGTTGAGTTTTCCACCCCCTCAAAAAACAAACCCAGTCATCCCACAACCCCTCCTGGATACTCTGGGAAAGAGGGGAATGGGATAAAACCTCTTTTTTTTTTTTTCCCCCCCTGGAAAAAGCAGGTTGGATGTGATAAAAGCAACCCCATAATGAATAAAAGATCCCACAAGCACCCCCAAACTTCCCTGGTTCCCAAATCCCCTCCAGCTTCCCAAGAAAAATGGGGAGGGAGCTTCTCCCAAGGACATGGAGGGACAAGAAAAGGGGGAAGTGGCAGGGCTGGGTGGGATTTTGGGATGAAATTCCTCCCTGTGAGGGTGGGGAAGGGCTGGGATGGAATTCTCAGGGAACTTGTGGCTTCTCCACCCCTGGATGTGTCCAGGACCAGGTTGGAGAAACCTGGATTGGGAAAGGGCCAGGGGGTGGAATGGGACCCAAACCATTCTGGAATTCCACAATTCTCTGATTTTCTCTGTTCCTTCACATTTTGGAAGAGCCTCAACCAGATTTTGTTAAATCTGAGTTTAAAGCTGTGATGAAATAATGGAATTAAAGCTGGAATAAAATCATTTAATGCAGGAATTCTGCTCCACCTTCCCCCCCCATCCCTGAGGGGTTTGTATACAAAAGTGTCAACTTTGGATTCTTCCAGGCCTGGTTGTGCTCCCTCAGCTCCCTGGCATTTGGGACAGAGCCCAAACAAAAGAGAACTTGGGCTGATTTTTGGGATAAAATTCCCTAAATTCCCCACCCCTGGAGTGATCACCAGCACCAGAGGAATCCACTGCAATATTTTATTTGGGAATTTACATATCCACAGGAGAGAGCAGACCACAAGTCCGACTTCTTGCTGACTTCTGAAGCAGTTTTGGGTTCTAGTGGAGATGAGAAAAGAAATATGCCTAAGATTAAAATGTCCCAAGCGAGCCAGGAAAGGGGAGAACCAGGATTTTACACAGGAACAACGACAACAAGAATGAAACAAAACAAAACAAAAGAAAAAAGTATAAATTAGGATGTCAGAGTCATTTTTAAAAGTGTAAGAAAACTTGCACAGGGCTCTGGGCCCCAGAGAATTAACTCTGGTTAGATTGTTAGAAGTGGAATTCCATCAAATCCCAACACCAGCCAGAAAATTCACTCTGGAGTGCAAGTTTTTCACATTCCATCGGCTTTGCCCCCACTCTGGGCGAGATTCCTGCTTGCTCAGGAGGGGTGGGAGAGGGCTTTTCCCAAGGACTTTGGTTCCAAGGAGGGTGGGAGCAGGGAGAGCTCCGCTGGAGGAAGGAGGTAGCAAGGCTTGCTTGCCCCTGGGCTCAGCTTAAATCCAGTTCCTCAGCACCAAACGATGTTCCCCACCCCTTTTCCCCCCCCACAAAAAAATTCTAACACTGGAGTTGAAGTGAGAAATCCCGGCTTTCCGGGCGGGATGCAGTCCAGATCTCCCAGTCCCACCTGTACCCAGGTGCCCAGCAGGGCATGAAGTGCTACCCAGGAGCTCTGGTGGAGCTTTGTGCAGGGAGGGATCCCCTCCCCGAGTGCATTGACTGTGCTGAGAGCAGGGCGCTCGCGGCCTGGCCACCGAGCTGGCCCCGTGGCTGTGACAGTGGAAAGGCAGAGATGGAGCTCAGGGATGGAAAAAAATTCAGGTTGGGCTGGGTCCCCAAACCCGAAAGCAAAAACCCTGAATGTCTCATGGAGCGGGTTTGGAGAACAGAACAAAGGCAGAAATGGTCACGTGCGAGCAAGCGCTCATTTCCACAGCGGGGAGCTGAGGGAGGGATTGCTGCCCTGGGCTCCTCCTCCTCCTCCCATGGACTGTCCATAGCCCATCATTCCATTGGCTCCATAGAAGTTCATCCCAGCCATCTGCTGGGTCACCTGCAAACGGGACAGGAGAGAGGTCAGGGATGGGCCTGGACACCGCCCACGGCTCCCAAAACCAGCTGAGCCCTAAAGGGGAGCAGGGTGTGGCTCCCCAGCACGGGAGGACTTCAGGGCAGGTTGGACATCGGCAGGAATTCCTCCATGGAAAGGGTGGTCAGGCCTTGGAACTGCCCAGGGATGTTTGAGTCCCCACCCCTGGAGGTGTCCATGGGCTCAATGCTCTGGGCTGGGAGATGAGGTTGGAATTGGACTGGGAATTCTTTCCCCACCTGACTGATCCTGGGATTCCCAGCTGCTCCCACTGCACCCCTGCCCAAAGCAGGGAAATCCAACTGAACCGTTCCCACACCGAGCAGAACCCCCCGGAGATCCCCCTCGCTCCTCGGCAATCCCTGCACCACCATCCCCTCCCCACCACCAGAAAATCCCTGCAAAAAGCCTCTCCAGGTGTGTCCCCCTCACCTGGGCGAGGTTCCACTGCAGCTGCTGTGCCGGCTGCACCCCGTACACGGGCTGGGCCACCGCGGCCACTCCGGCCACGTAGCCGGGCTGCTGGGCCCCCATCATCCCGTTGGGAACGCCCAGCACGTTGCCCACGTATCCTGCTGGGATGGCCACGGGTGCCACCATGCCTGCAGCTCCGGGCTGGGCCAGCAGCCCCATGGATGGGGCCATCATGCCCCCCATCATGCTGCTGGAGGGGGGCACTCCAGGGAAGCCGGGGTAGGGAGCAGCGGGATAGCCCAGCTGAGCCGGCGCCATGAACATCGCTCCTGGGAAAGGCAGGGAGGGAGCAGGGAAAAATGGATCAGTTCAGGGGCTGGGAATGTCAAAATTCCAGTCACAATCTGGCTGGGACATCCAGACTGAGATGCTGCTGGTGCTGCTCACAGCTCTCAACAAAGCTGGAGAGGGAATTTGGGCAGGGACATGCAGGAAGGGATTCCCGGTGCCAGAGGGCAGGGTTGGGCTGGATGTTGGGAAGGAATTCTTCCCTGTGAGGCTGGTGAGGGGCTGGAATGGATTTCCCACAGAAGCTGTGGCTGCCCCATCCCTGGAAGTGCCCAAGGCCAGCTTGGAAAGAGCTTGGAGCAGCCTGGGACAGTGGAAAGCGCATGGCTGGAACGGGATGAGCTTTACCTTCCCTTCTCGCCCAACCCATTCCGGGATCCTCCACTCACATTCCCACTTCTCCTGGAAGTTTGTCAGCCCCCAGGACACCCCAGCCACCCTCCCTTGGTGCCCTCCAGGTCCCAGCTCGTGCCAGGGTTACCTTGAGCTGGCACCTGGGACATTTGGGAGCCGTACAGGGACAGGATGGAGTCTTTGGAGAGCTGCTTCTTCCCCACTTCCTCCCCTTTCCCTCCAGGCTCCGGGAAGAGATTCAGGTTTTCAGGAACAGAGCCGGCGCTTCCAGAGGTTGGCATGGAGCCAACGACCTGGGACAAAGAGACAGGATCAGGGCCAAATCCAGCACGAGGGGAAGAAGGGGACTATCCATCCTCGTGCAGGGATGTGTTGGGGTGATGGCTTCAACATGGAAGAGGGAGATTTTAGGATTTAATTAATGGAAATTTAGATGAAGCAAGATTTAGGGCAGACAATCGATGTGTGTGGTGAAACAGTGGCACAGCATTCCCAGATGGATACCCCATCCCAGGAAGTGTTCAAGGCCAGGCTGGAGCACCCTGGGATAGCGCAAGGTGTCCCCGTTCTTTAACTTCCATCCTAAATTATCCTGTGCTTCTAGGACCCAACCAGGCTTTTCCAAGCACCAACATTCCCAGCTCACCTTCCTGGAGTCCGAGCTGGATCCCACGGATGCGAAGAGGTCCAGATCCTTCTCCAGGCTGCTGGGCCGGCCGTTGGTGACGGGCGCTGTCACCGGAGCGTCTGCAGGGACAGAGAGGTCCCGGTGTCTCCACACTGCCCTAGCCTGGGGACACCTCTGTGCCACCAGTGCCACCCCACCCAGTGACCCCCCCTGGTGCTGGGAAGGGACTGGAGCAAGGTTTGGGAAGTGTCCCTGGGTCCTGTTTGTGCCACCAACCTCCTGGAACACCACAGGCTCCAGGGCAAAGGGAAACACGTGGGAAACTCTTCCCAAGCAGCACTGGAGCAGCCCAAGCTGAAGATTCCCGCAGGATTGCTGGAATTGTTCACCTGACAGGGAAAATTAGCACTGAAACTCTGCGAATTCCCCAAATTTCTATACCAATTTCTCTTACCCAGGCCCAGCAAGTCCATGACTGGCTCAGATTTGGGGGAACTTTTCCTGGATTGCTGTGTTTCATCTTTCTTTTGAGGCTGGGGGAAAAGAAACAACACAAATCTTGTGCAGCTTTTGGGTTCACTCTGAAATGTCAGAGGTTTTAATGAGATTAATCCTTAAAATCCCTTTTTTCCCCACTGGATTTAAGTCAAAAATAAAAGCAAAACTCTCTCTGCTCTTCCAAAATGAGAATTTCAGTGAATATTTCCAAGTTTTTTACTGTCCCAATAGGTTGTCAAAGCCAAGCAGGCTCTAAACAGGGAGAAGCAGCTGCTGGAGCTGGAAAAATCAGCAGGGAATAGCTGGATTCCAACCTGCACATCTGCTCAGTGTCTGGTGAGCAGAGCAAAACAAGCTCCCACCAGAGACTCAAAGCACCCAGGGTGTGACTGAGGCCAGAAAAATGCTCCCAGAGCAGGCTGGAATCTCTCTGCTCTGCCTCAGGGATGTCTCCACAACTGCTCCAAGATTTTCATCCTCATCTTACCATTTTCACCTTCTCAAAGATGATGGGTTCCAGTTTTCTTTCCGATTCATTGCTCCTTTTCCATTTGTCATCCTTTTCTTTCTGTGAGGGAAAAAAAAAAAAATCAGTGGCATGAGGGAGAAAGTTCCTGATTACACCAAGAAAAAGCTCACACCTGGTGCTGTAACTGATCTAAAATCCCTCAGAGATAAAATCCCTCAGAAACAGCTGAATTTGAGGTAAGTTTTTGCACTTTTCCTGCTCTAAGCAAGGAACTGGATAAAACCCTTCCAGGATCTCCTCCAATCATTATCCCTGGAGATATCCATCCACACAAACCAATCAGCTGGGTGAAGAAGAGGGAAGAAAACAGGAATTTAAACCACTCAAAAAAACTCCAACCCCCAGAGCTCTGCCATGTCTGTGATCCTGCTTTTTCTCCTTTTTTCCTGGATAACCTGGAGATCTCCAGAAGATTCCCTACAGCAAAACCCATCAGCATCTTCAAATCTCCTCAGTGCTGGGCAGGAATTCATCCCATGAAGTGCAAGCAGCCCTGGAGAAGAGATTGCCCCTGACACAGGGAACATTTGAAGTGTTTTAATCACAAATTTCAACCCCCAGACTCACCCTGAAGGCGTTGATGTCAATGCTTCTGTCCATGTATTTCTTCTTCTCGTATTTATCCCGGATAAAACTCTCCACAGCTCTACAGCAGCTGGTTAAGGACAAAGGATTCCAGAATAGAAGCCTTATTTGACAGGGAGGAACAAGGTACAGGCTGTAACTAAATTAAATCATTGTTTAAAGAGCATTTCCAGCAGTAACTTTCTTAAAATAATTTACTGCTGGATCCCAGCTCAGTTTTTGCCTGTGGGTTATTCCAGGTTATTTCAGTGCTATAAAAAGGGAATTAAATCAGGATTTAGGCTCTTGCTGTGTTTTCTCCACTGCTTTTGTGGGTTTTTTTTTGCCCCAAGCATCCTCTCAACACATTCAGGTGACCAGCACAGATCACAGTGGTCACAACAGGATCCTGCACCTCAAAAAGCACCTCAGCTATCAGATTAACTCAGAAAATGATGGTGGAAAGGTACTCTTGTGGGGATTTCTTAGCTTCACATCATCCTATCCCCATTTACTCAGCATTCCTGACAGGCAGGAGTTACAGCTGAAGTTTTCAGCAGCATTAAAAATTCCATCGGAGAACCCCAGTTTTGGGATGCCAGGTTTGAGCTGGAAGGGACCTTAAAGCCCTTGGGCTCCTTCCGCTATCCCAGGCTGCTCCAAGCTCCATCCAGCCTGGGGAACACTTCCAGGGATGGGGCAGCCACAACTTTCCTGGGAAACCCATTCCAGCCCCTCCTCACCCTCACAGGGAGGAATCCCTTCCCAAAATCCCACCTATCCCTGCCCTCTGGCAGTGGGAATCCACCCCTTCTATCCTGTCCTTTGTCAATCATCTCTCTCTCTCCATCTCTCTTGCAGCTCCTTCAGGTCCTGGAGGGCCACAATTAGGTCTCCACAGAGCCTTTGGAATACTCAGCACTTTGGAAAATCCAACCCTCCCGTTCCTTCCAGGTTCCAAACCCCGAGCAGCCTCCTGTGGTGACCTTGGTGTCCCAGCTCTCCTCCCCCAAAACTCGGCAGCAATTCCTTCATTCCCATTCCCTGCCCCAGGGAACTCCTCCTCCTCCTTCAGGGAGGTTTAACCACACAGCTCAGGATGGAAAGGCTCCGTGTTTTTGTGTTTTTCCAGGGAACAAAGGATGCTGGTCTGTCTGGGGCCTCCGGAAGTTCTCGGGCAGGTAGGCTTCGTAGAGACGATTGGCTTTGCCGTTCCCCATCTCCTGTACGCACTGAAATCCAAACAAATTCCTTAAAATTTTCCTTTCCCAGACAATAATAGCTTTCCCACAGCATCCCAGGCTGCCAGGGAAAAGAAATCAAGGAAGGGAGATGCTCCTGAAAGGCACTCTCCACACGCCAGGGGATCCTGAGGCAGCTGCTCCAATCCCCTCCCATCCCATTTGCCAATCCTAAGCAATATTCAGTGCAAGGCAGGATAAATATCCCGTTAGCAATCCAAAACCCCTCTGGAAATCCCTGGGACGCTCCAGGACAGGTGGGAAGCACCTCCAGGCAGGGATTGGTAATTTAACAGAGACCTGCAGCTTCTTTAGCTTTACTCTCTGCTGCTTGTCAAGCCTGGAATGGGGACATTTTCCCTTCCAACCCATCCCAGCTGGACTTCTTCTTCCTCCTCTACTTCCCACATTTTTTGGGCTATCCTGGCTTGGTTCAATTCTAAATTTATGAACCTCCACTAACAAAAAAAAAAAACCCTCACTGTGTTATCCCAGCCTTTACCTGAATCTGTTCCTGCGTCCACTGGTCGAGGTTGACGGATTTGACCCTGGATATGTGAACTCCCAGGTTCCTGTGGATCCCGGCACAGCGGATGCAGATGAACACCCCAATATTCCAGGACGCCCATCGTGGCCCTGGGAAGAGACAGGAAAGTGTTTCTCATTAATTCAAAAACCCCCCCCCCCTTTTTTTTTTTTTTTTTTGCCTGGAGAACAGGGAAACTGCACTAAGTGAACTGGGATTGAAGCCTTTGGATTCTCATCCAGGCTGGAAACTGCAATTCCACATCAGCAGGATGTTCCCAATCATTATCCTTGGGGATCTGTTGCCTCCCTCTTCCATCCACACAAACCAAACAGCTCAAAGAGGAAGAGGCAGGAAAAGAGGAATTTAAACCACTCAAAAATCTCCAACCCCGAGAGCTCTGCCATGTCTGTGATCCTGCTTTTTCCCCTTCTTTCCAGGATAACCTGGAAATCAGCTCCAGCAGAGTCCCTACAGCAAAAACCCACTCAGCATCTTCAAATCTCCTCAGTGCTGGGCAGGAACTCCCAGCTGAGCCAGGGGAGCAGCAGCAAGCCCAGGATTTGGCCCCCAGAACCAATCCCAGCCCAAGGAATGATTAGTTCACTCCACAGTTTCCACGGCTCTGATGGAGATTCCTGGTTTTCATGCAGCTTGGACAGGCAGGACAGCTCCGAGGTGTGGATGGGAGATCATGCCAGGGATAAAAAAAACACCCACAAGGGGAAGATTAACGAGCTCAGATCGACTCAGTGCACCCAGGAATCCCAGCAGGGCATTCCCCAGGGGATACAGAGATCCACAGGAATTCCCACCCCTCTCCCTGCCAGGCCAGACCCTCAATCCTACTGAACATTTTAGGAATATTTTAAAATTAAACCCCCTGCTCCCAGTGCAGAGTTCCAGCTCCCAGCACAAACTGGTGTCCCAGTGCATGGGAAACTGGGAAAACACAGAGTTAGGGAACAAACAGCCTCCAGCAGCCCTTTTTCCAGACATTATTCCGGAGGATGAAGAGTTACCCGCTTTTTCTTGCCACAACTAAAATAGCAGAGCTTCAAGTTAATGAGAGGGAGGTGGGAGGGGGGGAAGAGGGGGATAGTGTCATTTTGAAGCCCTAAAAAAGCAGTGCTGTATTTGAGATTCTGTTAACAGTTTAATTCCTGCTCATAGGGAAAGCCTGGAGCATCCTGAGGGGTTTGGTGCTGAAAATGCAATCAGGGGCCCTTCCAGAGCAGAGGTATCCAACCTCCAACAGGTAACTCCAGCACCTCTTCCAGGGAATTCACTTCAAAAATGCCTTTATTAGGTTTTCTGGCCTTTCCTGTCATTATTTGCTGCTTTTTCCCTCTCCAGGAATGGCCTTTGGGAATGATATAAATTTAATGGAGCTGAGGAATTCACTTCCCAGACACCTTTGCCTGCACCTCAGTCCCTTTATTGCCTCCTTTATTACCAAAGCAAAACCCACAACTTCTGCACCACCTAAACATGCCCAAAAAAATGGGAATAAAACCCTTAGAATTCCTGTGATTTCCACACGGAATTCTCTCCCAGATCCACCCCCAGGGCTCTAACGTGAGACTGCTGGAAGGATTACCACGAGATTCAAGGTTAGACTTAAACTCCAGATAAATTTAGCCCTTGATAGGACTAAAAGGATTAATGGGCAGCTCCTGGGGTAATCGGCTCAGTGGGTTTGTCACATGGACCAGCTCAAGCCACCACAACCTCCCACTAAAACATGACTCAGGGGTAGTGTCACACCCTCCTGCTGCTCCAGTGTCCCCTGAGGGCTCTGGGACAACAAGGAAATCACAGCTGGAATGTGCTGCAACTCTTAAATCCAAGTTCTGGGACAGGCAATACGGGCAATTATATATATAATTATATATTATATATATATATTTTTAAATATATTTAATATAAATTGAATTTATATTTAAATGAAAATGAATCTTTAGGGCTTCTTGAACTCCTCCCAGCAATAAACACATTATACAACCAGAGGTGAGCTCTGCCCTGGGGAGATTCCATCTGGGATTTGGGTGTCCTTGCACAGCCAGAAGGTGCTGCAGGAAAGGCTTCAAATCTTCAGGGAATAGAGGAGCTGGGGGATGCAGGGTTGGTTTTATTCCGAGCCGAGGCACAGACTGTGACCCCAGCAGCTCAGGATTCTGATCCGTGACAGGAAGGACTCCAGAGCCACACAGGGAACAAATCTGGATTTTCCAAAGTGCTCCCTTGCAGCCACAGCAAACCCTGGTGGGGTCAGGTCCAACACCCCCATCCCACACCTCCAGCTTAACTAAACCAGCATTTTAACCTTCAAATGCCTTCTAGAAATGTCTTTTAAAATGCCTCACAAAGCCCTGAGTTTGTGGGAGGCGGGAAGGGCTTGGTGCAGATGTAAACAACCTCCCACTTCCCTCTTCGGAGCAGCTCACACTGAAACATCTCCCACTAAAAATCTCCCTGCAAGTGCCCAGCGCCTCACATTTTGCTTTTTAGGGCTTTTTGCAGGCATTTACCCAAGGTTTCACAGCTCTTTTCAAGGTGATTTGACTCGAAAAAGCCCCAGGAGGCATCTCCAGATGTGACTTTCACCCCGTGCTGCTGCTTTTCACCTCCCCAAAACCCAGCCCCAGCTCAGACTCTGCAGCAGCTTCAGTGATGAAAGGGGGAAAAACGCCTGGGATGGAGTTTAGGATAAAATTTTTTTGAGGAAAATGGATTTATATAAATAAATAACAACAGGGCAGCTTTAATCAGCACAGCTGAGCTGCCTGGGAGAATAATCACCCCTCAAAAGAATTGGGCAGACCCTGATAACCCCACCACGAATTGAGGACAGGGAGCACCTCACCCTCCTGGCTCAGGGAATTATGGATTTATCTCCCACATGGTTGAGGACAAAGCCAACATAAACATTCAGCTCCTTAAATCACTAAAAAATATAATTGTTTCTCTCGTGAATCATCTGGTTGATGCTATAAAATCAATTCCCCCGAGGCTGAGCACCCTCAGAGCCACCAGGCTGAAATGGAAACCCCATTTCCACATGGAAAACTGGGAGTTTCCTCCAGTGCTCACCAGTGCCGGCCTCACCTGGTGCTGCCACCGCTTTTGTCTCAGCTTTATGGATAATTTTAACATCCATGGGAAGCAAAGTCACCTGGCACCAAACCTGCTCTGCTCTGTTGGAAATCTGTGCCCCTGGGCTTGCACAAATGCCTCCTGGACTGAAGGAAAGATCAATTTGGATAAGAATCCAAACATTTTTCAGAGCCTGGATGCCCACTCAGCCCTGGCACAAGATTTAGGGTAGCTCAGACCCCCCTTGGGATGCACTCCCAGCCTGGTGGGGGCTGCAGGAGGACCACGAGCTCCAAAGCATCCCTTGCTCAGTGAAATTTTCATTCCCAGCTTTCCTGAGCATTTGAGGACGTTCCCAAGTGAGGATGCACCATCCAGTGCTCCAGGAGACAATTCCAGAGCCTGTTTTACATCATTTACTGTCAAAATAAACTCCACATACCAAACTTCTCCTGCCAGCTCCAGTCCCCATCTAAGTCCTGCTCATTAATGCTCCAAGGGCTGCTGAGCAACCCGAATGACTGAAAAGGATCCTAATTCCCTTTAAAACCCCGGGCCCAATTCCCTTCTCAACTCCCAGCCTGCGGAGCCTGCTCCAAATGAGTCACTGCTCCAAGTTCACACCCTGGAGTGGTTTTAATTGAGAAATCCCGAGGGGATTCACTCCTCACACTTTACTCAGGCACCAAATTCTGGCCTGAGTTCCTGAGGCGACCTTTTGCAGTACTAACTCCTCAGAAAGCGTTTTAAAATAAACCAGGAGGCGGCTGCAAAGCCACAGCTCCATGGAAAAGGAGGAGCAGGGAAAAGAGAGATGCTTCCATGGGCAGGATTGAGGGAACATCACCATTCTGATTAAATATTCCCAGTGGGAATGAGCAGCCAGCTCCTCCAGGGATACATCCATGGATCCCAAAACTGCTCCAAAACTGTCTGTGGAGTCATCCAACCATCCCCTGAGAGAAATGGATGTGGGGAATTGTCCCTGGAGAAGGAGAATCCCTGCCAGGGGACATTCACACCCTCAGCTTTTCACCACAGAAAAAATTTCCTCGAGTCCAATCTGAAAATCCTCGTTTTTTGCAGAGCCAAATGAGGAAAGAACTCGGGATCCAAGAGGTTTCCTCTGCCCTGTGGTTTCCTCGCTCTGTAAAGAAATTGCTCAAGGATTTATTTCCATTTGTCCTGCTCAGAGCTGTGACCAAGCCTCTCTTGCAAAACAGCTTCCTCTGCTCTTTGTGGAAGTGTCTACTCTGCACTTCCAGGACTTGGGGAACCAAAGGAAACTCTAAAAACTCACTTAAATCAGCTCCAAGATCTCTAAATGATGTTATTTAGTTATTAACACTATAAATCGCTGGGCTGAGCACGGCTCCTGCTGCAGGGATCAAAGATCCAGCTCAGATTTGGGATTAATCCCTGCTGCACTCCCAGATTTAAGCCTGGACTGAGTGATTTCTGCAGTTTTCAGGGGATGCTAAAGCCAAACCCTCACTTTAGCACACACAAAAGGGGTTTGATAAACATTTACACCTCATCAAGTAGTTTCATCACCCCAAAATTCAGCTTTATTCCATCTTTTAAAAGGACAAAAGGCTGTTTGGGGGATTTCTTTGTACTTTTTTTCTCCTTCAAAATAATTGCAGGCCTCAACCACGTTTCCCAAGAAAATCCAAGGTGCTGGCTGTGATTTTGGCCAAAAAAAGGTTTGAAATCTTCCAGTCTACCAAAAATATCCAATATTTGAGGGCCCTGTGGCCTCAAAGATCAAGTTTTGTGCGTTTTTAAGTAAAGATGAGCAGCTTTCAGCAGCTTTATCACTTTATCACATCGTGTTCTTTGAAGTGCAGGTGGAGGAAATGAAAATTTCTGTGAACAGCAGGGTGGGGCTTTCCTGCTGCTGCAGAAAGGGATGGTTGTTTCTTCAGTCAAATAAATGGTGACAGGGACAATTTCAAGCAGTGCTATCATCAGGATCCAGGAACAAGAACTGGGTGATATCACCGACACTGATGGTGACACAGCTTAAAAATATAAATATACATTAAAAAAAAAAAAAATCAGTCAATTCCACAATCCATGGACTTCCTGTGGAATCATTTTTTCACCAAAACCATGCATCAGACAATCCTAGAAATTCCAGATTCCAAGAAGGCCTGAATTTCCATAAAATGCAAAGAATTTAGGTGATAGGTGCACCTGTAAACAGAGCAGCAGGATGGAAGCTCTACCATCAGTAAATTGACTTTTGATGCTGTTAATAGAATTTTGCTGCTTTTTAAGATGTTTTTAATTCGTCACTTGGGTGTTAAAAATATTTAGACTCTGTTTTCCAATTTAATTTGAGTTTGGGTTTTAGGAGCCACCAAGTGCCTAAAAAAAGCTCCAGGCAGAGGAAGGTCCTGGGTCAGTCTTTGATGGATGGAGAATTTTTCCAATATCTGCAGCTACACATGGACTATCCATTGAAATTCCTAGGGAAAGGGTCAGGAAGGAATGGCACATCTTGCCAAAAGTAGAGATAAACCGGTTTATTAAGGGCCAGGTAAATCCAAGCTCACGCTCACTGCTCCAAAACAGCTCCTGCTAAAAGCTCCAATTCTGTCCCAGATTCCTGGGCCAAAGGGAACGATCACTACAAGGCACCAGCCCAAAGGAGCCCTGAGCTATTCGTGACTTTTTGGTTGGTTTCAAGACCTACTTTGCATTTTGGAGCACGAGCTCCCTTTGCACTGCAGCTGCCGTTCCTTACATAACCACCGGCAGTTTCTATAGGAACAAACTTTACTCCAGCTGGAAATCACGTGGCGTTTTTGGGGAGCTTTCTTTTCCCACCTCCACGCCCCAGGTGGGTCAGTACAGAGAGCCCAGGTGCTGCTGCTCCGAGGATTATCCCTATTTCTGGCAGATGTAGGGCCAGGGATCCAAGTGTGACTCAGAGCTCTGCTTAAAAGGGATCTTCCTACAACTAATTCCACACTAAATCCCTGTGGGGAACACTGATGCTTTTTTCCCTTGCTTAAGTGGGAAGTTACAGCTTCAGGCAGGCTCAGGGTGGACGGAGCTGTGTCCTCTCCCAGCTTTACCCTGCTGAGGTGAAGATCCCGGAGGGATAAAGTGAATTTCAGAGCGTTTCCACTCCCTTTGTGCAACCTCTCTGATCTGAACTGGGAAAAGCAGAATAATGGAAGATCCCAGAATATTTTGGCTGCAGCTGAGGATTCAAATGAACACACAACCCACATGCATCCCTCTGGCAAGATTCCCTTGCATAAGGCTGAGTTTTCTCCTCATCCCAGATTTCCTAAGCCAAGCTGAGCAGTTCCAGCCCCACCACTTTGGGTTTTTGGAGGCACAGGCTGCACACTCCCCCTCCATCAGCATTGCCATCCTGATCCTCCTTCCTCCCATGCAGCTGTTCCAGCAGCTATTTAAAAAGTTCCTCTTGGAATTGCTCAGACTGCAAAGGAAATTCAGCTGCAGCTCAAGAGGCTGATGGAGGAGTTGAGTCACGCAGATTTTTGGGGAATATTTGGTTTGGATTAACAGGAGTTAGGCTGGACTAAAGCAGCTCCACCATAAGATAGTTCCCAAATTCCACTGGAAGTCAGCCTCCCCATAGCACCTACTCCAGCCCCAAGCTTTTCCCCCTTCCCATCCCATATTTAACCACCTCTGGGCAGCGATTTCCCCAGTCTTACACCTGTTATTTCTGGTGAAGAATTAAACCTGGATTTGCACCGTGTTCAGCAGCACTTCTCCCATCTAATCCCTTGGGATACAAGGGATGGATTTAGGCCTGGACCCCATGGATCTCACACGACAAAGGGATGAAGGGAAGAGCCAGACAAACCAGGGGGAGCACAGGGTGACCTGAACCTCTGGGCAGCCACGGCTGCCAGTGCTGCCTGGGAGGAAGTTCCCGCTCCGACGTCACCGCCCCGGGATCCATGGAGCTTGCTGGATGGGACTGGAGAGCAGAGGGAAGAGTTTGGGAGAAGGAGAGAACCAAACACAATTAGCTGGAGAGCAGCTGGAGAGGCAGCAATGAATCCACTCAGTGTCGCTCAATTGGAATTTTCCAAATCCTGGTGGAGCCCAACTCTGAGATTTCAGCACATCCCTCCCTCCCTCCCTCAGCCATTCCAGCTCCAGACTCCTGCTCCAAGCAGGGAATGTGCTGCTGGATGCTCAGCTCAGGCTGTGCAGCAGCTCCATTATCTCACACACACACACAGGGAACAGCAGCACCACGGCCGCCCTTGGAACACCTTCGCCACGGGAATGGCACTGGTAGGAAAAATCCCACCTGCCCAGCAAGTGCTGCTCTTTCCAGGTGTTTCTCCGAGTGATTCCCACAGCAAAGACCTCCAAGGAGAGGATTATAACTCAGCAGTGCCCACCCTGCCCTAGCTCAGCTCACCCAGTGCCCCCAGACACGAGGTTGACAACAAAAAGAGGAAGAAGAGATCTCACCCAATTTCCTGCAAAACAAGAGCTCTGAGCAGGGCTTGCTGCTGCTGCAGCAGCAAAACCACCCTGGGGTGTCACAGAATCTCACACTGGCTCGGGCTGGAAGTACATTAAAGCTCATTTAATTCCACCTCTGCCATGGGCAAGGGACACTTCCCACTAGCCCAGGTTGCTCCAGCCTGGCCTGGGACGCTCTAGTCCCTGTACAGAGAAGCAGCTTTGCTTCCAGACACCCCTGGAGGTGCTGAGGGCACCACCTGGAGCCACCACGGGGCTCCTTTCCGTAGGCAGAGTGGAATGTTGCAGTTATTCCAGGAGGAACATCAAGCCTTCCTTGGCATTGCTACTGGGAGAGCCCCGCATTCACCAAAAGTACCAAAACTGCCCCAAAAGCAGTTTTGCTTTTCAGCAAAAAAAGCTTTTTGCTCTTCAGCAATTCCCTGAATTGCTGAAATCCCCTGGAGCTCCAGGCAGTGACAGCTCCATTCACCAAAAGCACCAAAACTGCCCCAAAACTGCAGGAATTCCTTGGAGTTCCAGGCAGAGACAGCTCCCATGGCCACACATGCCCTGGAGGAGGAGATTTCCCACTTCCAGAAATCTCATTAGTGCAGGGGTTAATTAGTAGATCAGATAACTGGGGACAACCCCAGCCTGCTCTTCAGGACTGGTACAATCCACGTTCCCAGACAGGAGCAGCTCCCAGCTTTGGAAAGGCTGCACTCCACACTGGAACTTCATTATAATTATTAATTAACTGGAATTCTGCACTGCCAGGACGTGCTGTGACCAGGAGAAGCTCCACCACCCCATCACCCGCAGCTGTGGGGTTGAATTTATTCCCATTTTGGCGGAATTTGCTGTCTCAGGCCTAGAAAGCTGAGATAAAGGAGCTATTTCTGCCCTTGGGGCTGGCAGGAGGTGCCAAGAGATAAAGGATTGGCACAGGAGGGGAACATCCTGATCTCCAACAGCACCTTCATCCCAAAGCCAGGTGGGCTCCAGAGAGGTGGGAAGGATGAGGTTATTGTGGTTTAGGCATTTTTAGGGTGAGAAGAAATCATAATTATCTAATTTTGAATGTTGCTCAAGGGGGCTCTGCAGTTTTTGAGGTCACACTGAGGTGACCAAGTCCTCTGTTTACAGATGGATTTGGCCAATCCCTCCTCCAAGTTCACTTCCAGCAGTTGCTGGGAAATGAGGCTCAAGTCCAGATCTACAAGTGATTATGGCAGCTCATTAAAATGGGATTTTGGGCAACTTTAACTCTTTTGCTGCAGGAAAACAAAGCAGCAACCACAGAGCGGCAGCAGGGGACAAGGAACAGTTTTATTTCTTTGTTTCAACCTCTGGAATTCAAACATTTCCTTTCTCAGGTAGATCAAGGTCATAACACGCCTTGGAATCAGAAAAACATGGAATGGTTTGGGTTGGGAGGGACCTTACAGCTCGTTCAGTTCCACAGGCAGGGACACTTTCCACTATCCCAGGGTGGCCTTGGACACTTCCAGGGATGGGGCAGCCACAGATTCCTGTGCCAGGGCCTCCCACCCTCACAGGGAAAAACCAGCTGGGAAAAGAAGCAGAGGACAAAAATCTGCCATTCCTCCAGTGCTCCGTGATCCCAGGGTGAGGTTACAACTCCTTCCCTGTCCTTACAACATCCAGGGCAGATCCTGCTGCACATTCCAGCCCCAGGTGACAGGATGTGACTCCCAAGAGCTGGAATTCCCTCAATTCTACAGCGACGGCTTTTCCAGGTCACTCTTCTTCCCCTTCCAGGGGAGGCCCCCACCCACCCTGAGGTGTTTCCCGGGATTCCCACAGGGAAATCTGGGGCCATCCCTTCCCCATCTTCCAGAGGCACCGGGAAGGACAGCTCCTCCAGCAGCTCCTCCCGGTGCGACTCGCACCAAACCCAGCTGTGCTGCAGCCAAAAACTGGGGCTTTTCCCCCAAAAACCACCGTGTTCTTTCCTCCAAAACCACCCCATTCTTGCCCCCAAAACCACCCCGTTCTCTCCCTCAAACCATGGAGTTCTTTCCCCTAAAACCACCGGGTTCTTTCCATTAAACCCACCCTATTCTCTCCCCCAAAACCACCCTGCTCTCTGCCCCAAAACTACCCCGTTCTCTCCCACAAACCATGGAGTTCTTTCCCCTAAAACCACCGGGTTCTTTCCATTAAACCCACCCCGTTCTCTGCCCCAAACCCACCCCGTTCTCTGCCCCAAACCCACCCCGTTCTCTCCCCACACCCCACGTTGTTTCAGTCGCTGTCCCCGCTCACTCCCGTAACCGCCGGGGCAGCACCGTTGTGCCCCCGCCACCACCGGAGCGCTCCCCGGCACGAAGCCCACCCCCACGACAGCCACCCGGCGGTGTCCGAGCCTCGGGGCAGCGGCGGCACCGTAGAGCACCGAGCGGCTAGGCCGGTGTGTGTGGGGGGGCGGACCAACGGGGTGCATCCGGTGCGGCGCGGGCTCCACAGGTCCCGCCGCCCATCCCCGCTACCTTTGGCCTGGCAGTCTGCGCAGAACTTGTTCTCGTCCTCGGCCAGCAGCCCGGCCAGCACCGCCTGGTAGCGCTCCACGTCCCGCACCGATTTTCCCGTCATGGCGCGGCCGGCGCTGCCCGCCCGCGGGTCACGGCCGGCCCGCCCGCTTCCTGCTTCCGGTATGGGCGGAGCTCCGACTGGGGGAGGAGCCAATCAGCGCCGGCCCCGAGCGGGAACGCCTCCCCCGCGCGCCGCCTGTACTGAGCGCTGATTGGTTCTGGCGAGCCGGCGGGAGCCAATGGGGAGAGAGGGTGGGGCCACCGCGGTTATGAATGGTGAGGGTCACGTGACCGGGGTGTGGGGACAATGGGGGACACGGGGGGACAGTGGGGGGGATCGGGGGGGACAGGCAGGAGATGGGGGACACAGGGACACGGGGATGCGGAGGTGATGGCCGGGGGTGCTGGGTGGGAGGATTTTGGGGGGCTGGGTAGGGGTCCAGGGATGCTGGATAGGGGATTTGGGGGTGCTCAGATGCTGGGTGGGGGTCCAGGGATGCGGGATGGGGGATTTTGTGGGTGCTCAGATGCTGGGTGGAGGTCCAGGGATGTGGGATGGGGGATTTGGGGGTGCTCAGATGCTGGGTGGGGGTCCAGGGATGCGGGATGGGGGATTTTGTGGGTGCTCAGATGCTGGGTGGAGGTCCAGGGATGCGGGATGGGGGATTTTGGAGGCTCAGAGGTGCTGGATACGGGGTTGGGGAGGACTCAGGGGTACTGAGGTGCTGGGGGGGGGGTTGGGGGGCTCAGGGATGCTGGGTGGGGGATTTTGGGGGATCCTGGGCTGCTGTCCCTTGGGCTGGAGGGGCACCTGGCGGCGGAGGAGGCTGGTGGCCATGCTGAGGAGAGAATTTCGAGACCTGCAGTAGCCGAAAAACCGCTATAAAACGAGCAATGGCACCGACAGGTGACAAAAATCTGTCACTGAAGTACTCTGAGAAACAGCCGGAATTACATAATCCGCCCAAAAGTGACACTCGTGTCCCAGAAAGGGACAGTGCTGGGACACTCGGGCACGAGCAGGAGCATCCCAGCAGCTCCGGGGGAGAGATAAACAGAAGGTGATGCTCCCAGATGCTCTCAGCCTGGATCCTTTATTGCCTCGAACCCCCAGGTTTTGGTGGAATTACTTCCCTTTCAGGCTGGGACGTGGAGAGAACAATCCAGGAGAGATCCCAGCGCAGAGCGGAGCATTCCCAGTCCCAACTGGTCCGTGCTGGGATGGCCCTGTGCCCGGCCGTGTCATCCCTGCCCCAATCCCAAATCGCCGAGCCCCAAAGGCGATGAATCAGCGGAGCATTGAGGAGCCTTGGAGCTCTTGGCGGGAGGAGGAGGAGGAAATGGCCGGGATGAATCATCCCGTGTTCCCTGGGAATGGCAACTGGGAATGGGAATGGGGGTGTGAGCGGGACATCCATCCCCCCGTGGGAACTGTCCCTGCGATCCCCCCCTTCCCTCTCAGCGCCACTATGGGGACATGGGGACATGCCCACGGGGGTCACAGGGCAGGAATTGGGGCAGGAATCCCCCAGGAGCTTCCCTGGGGTGGCAGGAACTGGTTCCCAGTGCCACCCCCATCTCGGGGTGTGGGGGAGCTGCAGCCACAACAGGCAGTGGCACTGGGGTGGCATCGTGATGGGGACACCACGGGGACCCCCTGGCACATCCTGGCCAGGCTGTCCCCAGCAGCAGCTCCCGAGGTCATCCCCGTCCTGTCCCAGCACCTCGTCTGTGCCAGATCCCGTCTCCATCGTGCCAAATCCCGTCCCATTTGTGCCAAATCCTGTCCCCATGGTGCCAAATTCTGTCCCATTTGTGCCAGATCCCGTCCCCATCATGCCAAATCCTGTCTCCATTGTGCCAAATCCCGTCCCCATCGTGCCAAATCCTGTCCCCATCATGCCAAATCCCGTCCCCATCGTGCCAAATCCCGTCCCCATTTGTGCCAAATCCTGTCCCCATGGTGCCAAATTCTGTCCCCATCGTGCCAAATCCCGTCCCCATTGTGCCAAATCCTGTCCCCATGGTGCCAAATTCTGTCTCATTCGTGCCAAATCCTGTCCCCGTGGTGCCAGATCCCGTCCCCATCCAGCCCGCAATAACCGCGGGCTCACCTGAGAGGGGCGGGGACCTGCCCTCATCCCTCTGTTCCATATTAATGAGCCTCCTCCCTCCTCCTCCTCCTCCTCCTCCTCCCCCTGCCCGCCCAGGGTCCCGGAGCGCTGCGAGTCGGGGCCGCCGGCGCTCGGTGCCAGCCGCGCTCGGTGCCAGCCGCGCTCGCCATGGCCCGTGTCACCCGTGTCACCCTCGTGTCGCAGCTCTGGCTCCTGCTCCAAGCCTCCTGCCTCTGCCTGGCCCAGCTCGTAAGTGCCGGGCGCGATCCCGCTCCACTCCGGGCAGGAATGGGGATGGAGAGGGGATGGAGAGGGGATGGAGAAGGGATGGGGATAGAGAGGGGACATTCCCCATCTCCGCTCCCTCGCAGTGCTGAGCGCTTTGGGTTTATTCCCCGCTTTTCCCTTGCTTTTCTCAGGAATGCCCCCCTGGGAGGGTGGGAACAGCCTCAGCCCAGACCCGCCCGACACCGTGCGGGAAGTGCGGGCTTGGAAATAAGGGAATTGTTGGCTAAACAAGTTTAGTTTGATTTCCCCCTGGAGCAGCAGGGGGGGGGGGGCTGTGTCTTTCCCACTGGATTTTCTGGGAAATTTGCTCCTGCTTTCCTGGGATGTGCTGCAGATCCGGGCTGTGCAGGGCTGGGGCGTCCCGGACCCTCCCGGGGTTGTCCCAGGGCTCCGGGGGGGCTGCCGAGGGGTCCCCGTGGACTCTCCAAACTCACCCAGGGGTAGGAGAAAATGGATCTGGAAAAAGGGAATGTGAGCTCTGGAGCGGGGTAGGCAGCGGGATTCCACCTGGAAAGACTCTCCTTGCCTTACAACTGCAAGAAAAAAACCAACAAAACCAACAGATTTTAGAGGTTCGGGGAAATTTTTCCATGTGGCTCCTGAGCTGCCTGTTGGAAACGGAGGGACAGCTCCTTCCAAAACCCCCCCGGGGTCCCCATGGGCTTGTGGGGGCAGCGGAGCGGAGCAAGGGGGATGTGGGAATTTCGGGAACAAGGAACCCTTTGGAATTCGTTCCTTGGGCAGGACAAAGGTGCCATTCAGGCATGATCCCAGCGATGGGGACTCGCTCCCTCCCTAGCTCAGGGATTGATCCAAGGTGGAGCCAGGGCTCTCCTGTTGTGTCCATGAACCAGAAACACCTCTCATCTCTACAGATTTACATTTATTCCTATATTTATTTCTTATATTTATATTTCATTCTGAAATGAACCCAGCCTGGGAGGCTGGAGGAGCCGCAGGAGTGCAGCCCAGCCACTGTCTGCTTCCCATTTCCAGGAACACCAGGGCTCCAGTCTCCAGGACTGGAATCTCTTCCCCCTGAACTCCCTGTTAGGATAACAGAGGTTTCTTTGCCGAGTCCTGTGCAAACCTCAAAGCCAGGACTGGGCTCCGGGAGCTTCTCTGAATGGAGCTTTTGTCTGGAGCCTGGGAGCGGAGCCAGCCTGGCCCAGGGAGAGCTCACACAGAGGTGTTGGGGGTCTCCACCTCATCCTGGGCGTTTGGGCACCTGAATTCTGCCAGTGCTTCCAGAAATCCCACTCTGAGCTAAAAGGGGTCTTTGGAAGTGCTGCTCTCACCCCATGGACACCCTGCTCTGTTAGGGCAGGAAAAGGTGTCACTAAAGCACACAAAATGATTCACAGGAACACTCTCAGTGTCAGAACAAAAAACCATGACTTTTTTCTCTGACTCCAGTATTTATAGATTCTCAACAATGACCAGGGATTGGATAATTGTTACCACCTTTCCAAGCACACTGGACATGCAAAACATCCATCCAAAGACGTTTCTTAGAAGGAATGTGATAAACAACTCATGTTTATAAGGCTGTCATGGGAAAGCAACTAAAACTATGGAAACATTATCAGAAGGTTTAATTTTCAGGAAAAAGGGGTGACAGAAATGGGGTAGAAATGCTTGGAGATCCTGCTCCAGCCAGGCAAAGAGGGAAAAAACCAAAACCAAGGAAAGAGGGAGCAGAGATGGGATAAAATTGTCATCCCATGGAGATCCCTGCTCCATTGGGATAAGAGGCCATGGACACCAGGGAAAGAGAGAGCAGAGATGGGATAAAATTGTCATCCCATGGAGATCCCACTCCACCAGGGCAGGAGATCTAGGGAAAGAGGAAAGAGGGATAAAAACACTGCCATCACCCCATGGAGACCCTGCTCTGTTCCCTGTGGACCCCAGAGCAGGAGATGGGAGAAATGGGATAGAAACTGGGCAGGGAATGAGGAGCTGGAGGTGCCAGAGTGAGGAAATGTCCTGGATTTCCCCATCCACGCAGAGCTCCGACCCCTCGGCGTGTTCTCCATCCCAGCCCCCTGGAATTCCCGCTACATTCCAGCGGCTCCCTGTGCTCCCCACACATCCCGGGGTCCTTCCTGACTTAGATCCCTTTCTCCCCACAGCGAGGGCCTCCAGGAGAGCCCGGCCCACGGGGGCCCCCCGGTCCCTCAGGAGTGCCGGGAGCCGATGGCATCGACGTGAGTGACGGGAACCGTGGGGAGGGAGGGAGGGGACACAAAAGGGACATTGTGAGTGGCATGGGTGCTCCGTGCTGCTCCCACTCCTGATTTAGGGCAGATGGAGCAGCCCCAGCTCTGCTGCTGGCAGCAAACAGAGGCTGCACCCCAAATCCAGCTCCATCCACAGCTCGGGAATCAGGGCCTGAGTTGATTTTTGGGGAATGCAGGGCAGGGAGGTTGGAATGCACTGGAGGATGCTCGGAGGGGTTGGGGCAGGGACCACCCCAGAGATACCCATGAAGGGGGGATGTGGGAGACAGTGACAATCCCAGTGGGGTTCCTGCAGAGGGATTGTGGCTCTGGAATGGGGGCCCGAACAGAGGGGAGCCCTCTGAGGCAGCAGAAATTTCTCCAGGATGCGGTGTTATTTTGGTGTTATTTATACCCAGAGCAGCCACACTGCTTTGGAAACCCCAGCAAGCCCTCATAAAACCCCATCACAGCCCTCACAAAATGCCAGCCCTTCACAAACCCCAGGAAAACCCTCTCAAAACCCTCAAAAAAACACCCCAAAAATCCCAGCACGGCCCTAACAAAACCCTAGAACAACCTCCACCAATTCCCCCTCACAAAAGCCCAATACCCCCTCACAAAAGCCCAATACCCCCTCACAAAAGCCCAATACCCCCTCACAAAAGCCCAATACCCCCTCACAAAAGCCCAATACCCCCTCACAAAAGCCCAATACCCCCTCACAAAAGCCCAATACCCCCTCACAAAAGCCCAATACCCCCTCACAAAAGCCCAATACCCCCTCACAAAAGCCCAATACCCCCTCACAAAAGCCCAATACCCCCTCACAAAAGCCCAATACCCCCTCACAAAAGCCCAATACCCCCTCACAAAAGCCCAATACCCCCTCACAAAAGCCCAATACCCCCTCACAAAAGCCCAATACCCCCTCACAAAAGCCCAATACCCCCTCACAAAAGCCCAATACCCCCTCACAAAAGCCCAATACCCCCTCACAAAAGCCCAATACCCCCTCACAAAAGCCCAATACCCCCTCACAAAAGCCCAATACCCCCTCACAAAAGCCCAATACCCCCTCACAAAAGCCCAATACCCCCTCACAAAAGCCCAATACCCCCTCACAAAAGCCCAATACCCCCTCACAAAAGCCCAATACCCCCTCACAAAAGCCCAATACCCCCTCACAAAAGCCCAATACCCCCTCACAAAAGCCCAATACCCCCTCACAAAAGCCCAATACCCCCTCACAAAAGCCCAATACCCCCTCACAAAAGCCCAATACCCCCTCACAAAAGCCCAATACCCCCTCACAAAAGCCCAATACCCCCTCACAAAAGCCCAATACCCCCTCACAAAAGCCCAATACCCCCTCACAAAAGCCCAATACCCCCTCACAAAAGCCCAATACCCCCTCACAAAACCCCAATAAAACCCTCACAAAAGACCAATAAAAGCCTCACAAAACCCCAATAAAACCCTCACAAAACCCCAATTCCCCCTCACAAAAGCCCAATTCCCCCTCACAAAACCCCAATTCCCCCTCACAAAACCCCAATTCCCCTTCACAAAACCCCAAGAAAACCCTCACAAAACCCCAATTCCCCCTCACAAAACCCCAATTCCTCCTCACAAAACCCCAATAAAACCCTCACAAAAGACCAATAAAAGCCTCACAAAACCCCAATAAAACCCTCACAAAACCCCAATTCCCCCTCACAAAAGCCCAATTCCCCCTCACAAAACCCCAATAAAACCCTCACAAAAGCCCAGCCCAGCCCACTCTTCCCAACGCTGCCCCATCCTGCCCTGCCTGTGGGATCCAGCACCTCCCTCCTGTCTTAGGAGTGGGACAGGGATCCCAAAACCCCCAGGATGGGCTCTGTGGGGTGAGCGATCGCTTTTCCACCTTCTCCCCTTTTCCCAGGGTGACAAAGGTCCTGCCGGAGCCCCGGGATCCCCGGTGAGTACCCAGCCCTCCCTCGGCTTCCCGGTGATCCCGCTCCTTCCAGAGGGGCTCATTCCAACCCGATCCCATCTTTTTTCCAGGGTGTCAAGGGTGAGCCTGGAGCCCCTGGGCCGGATGGACCTCCAGGGAAGCCGGGCATTGATGTGAGAACTGACCCCATCCCCTGGTGGTGTCCCTGCCCGCGGGGTCCCAGCAAACTCCTCCTGTCCCCAGTGTCTGGGGGACACCACATGAAAACATGCCCAAATCCCCTTCTGCAGGAGCTGCAACTACCTTGGGAATCCCAAATGAGCTCAGGAAGAGCTTCTGTCACCCCTTCCCACCTTGGGAACTCCAAAAGAGTTTCTGTCACCCCTTCCCACCCTGGGAATTCCAGAAGAGCTCGGGAATTCCAGAAGAACTTGGGAATTGCTTCTTCCACCCCTGCCCACCTTTGGGATCCCAGCAGAGCTCCTCTTGTTTTCCCCCAGTATAAATCTGAAGCAATTCCTAGTCCCCCGCTGTCCCCACTTCCTTGGCACCCAGGAGGTGGCACTGGTGACTTTGCCACTGTCCCCTCCTGGGCACAGCCTGGCAGAAGTGGTGGCAGGAAGGGGACAGAGCTGGGCCTGTCCCCAGGTCCCCTGGGTGGGGTCCCAGGGGTGTGTGGTGGGAGCCTGGGAAGGTTTGGGTGGGTTCCTGCCCCATCCCAGGGGTAAAACCAGGATCAGGGATGGGTGGAGCTTCCCATGTGTACCTGCCAGGCTGGACGTGCCCAGGGTGTGAGGGTCCTTGGAGGGCACCCCCGTGTCATGGAATTCCGCCCTTGGCCCCCCCTGATGGATTCAACCCAGCAGAAATTCCTGTCTGGAGAGCAGGAGGAATGGGAATGACTCCCTGTGTCTCTTCCCTTGCAGGGCCTGACGGGAGCGAAAGGGGAGCCAGGACCTGTCGGCAGGCCAGGAGTTAAAGTGAGTGAGGGGCCGCCCCAACTCCCATATTCCCAAATTCCCACCTTCCCAGGATCCCACATTCCCAATTTCCCACCTTCCCAAGCTCCCACATTACTAATTGCCCACCTTCCCAAGATCCCATATTCCCAAATTCCCACCTTCCCAAGCTCCCACATTCCCAAATTCCCACCTTCCCAAGCTCCCATATTCCCAATTTCCCACCTTCCCAGGATCCCACATTCCCAGTTTCCCCACATTCCCAGGCTCCCACCTTTCCAGGCTCCCCCCTCCCCTCCCAGGCCCAGCCTAGGATCATCTCCATCCCTCTGGAAGGGATCCATGGATGCAGGATCCATGGCTGACAGGGTTTTTGGCCCTGAGGCTGCATCCAGGGAGGGGGAATTGCCAGGGCAGATCCTCCTTTTCCAGCTCCTGACTCTGCTCTTGTGTCCTGGCAGGGCCAGCCTGGACTCCCAGGGCCACCAGGGCTCCCTGTGAGTATCTGCTGCTCCCAGGGGTGTGGTGGGGACCCTCCAAGTCCTCCCTGCCCCATCCTTGGTGCCAGGGCGGGAATGGCCCTCCTTGGGGCAGGAATTCTGATGGATTTGGGGAATTTAAACCAATTGAAGCTTGCTTTTTGTTGCAGGGTCCTTCACTGCCAGGACCCCCCGTAAGTGCCACGCTGGGGCTGGGATGGGTGGCCTGGGGTCCTGCTTGGAATTGTGCGGGAGGAGCTCAAACCTCAGCATCCCCAGAAGGGAGGAATCAGGATGGGACCTCTCTCATTCCATGGATTTCTCTCCCTTCTCCCTAAGGGGCTTCCAGGCCAGGTTGGACTTCCCGGAGAGATCGGGGTGCTGGGACCCAAGGTGAGGAGTCAGGAGGGGGCATGGAAAAACCTCCCCTCCTTCTACCAGGAGCTGCTTCTGTGCCCTTCAGGGCTCCTGGGATAGTCAGGGATGATCTTGGAATGTGGGACTGGAGGTTCCCCTGGTGCCATCACCCTGGGGGTGTCCCCATTCCTGCTGGGACACACCGGCTCTTTGGCTCTCCACCTCCCTCCCCATCCCAAATTCTCCTTTCCTGGCCTTCTTTCCCAGGGTGATCCCGGACCCGAAGGCCCCAGAGGTCCCCCAGGCCCTCCAGGGAAACCCGTGAGTATCTCCCAGCTACCTCCAGGAGGGACAACCTTCCCCAGGCTCATCCCAGGGACTGGAGCTGGAATTCAGGCTCTGGCTCTCACCTCCCACCCCATTCCTTGCTCCCTGATCCATCCTGATGTAAAACCAACCACAGAATTCACAGGTTTCCTTCCCTGCAGGGCCTCCCGGGACACCTCCAAGGCCTGGAAGGCAGCGCTGATTTCCTGGTGAGAGCTGCCATGACCTTGTCTCCTGCTGTGACCAGGGTGTGTCCAGACTTTTCCCAGTCATTCCCAACTCATCCTTGTCCTTCATCTTCTCCCAGTGCCCCACCAGCTGCCCCCCAGGTCCCAAGGGCCCCCAGGGACTGCAGGGACTGAAGGTAAGGAAGGCCTGGAGCTGCTGTGGGGGGGAAAAATGGGAATTGTCACTTCCAGGATGTGGTGGAGTGAAGGATCCTTCTCTGGGATCTCTGGAGCACCAGGACAAGGAGGCCTGGAGGAAAAGGTGCTGTGGGAATGGTCCCTGAGGGTCCCCAGCCCCTTCCTGGGGGTGGCACCCTGTGCCAAAGCCCCAGCTCCAGCTCAGGATGTCACCTGTGGGATTCTGAGTCCCCCAATGTCACCTGTGGGATTCTGAGTCCCCCAATGTCACCTGTGGGATTCTGAGTCCCCCCAATGTCACCTGT